CAGTGACTGGGATAGTCTTTGTTAATTTTCAGAGGAAGGTAAAAGATTAGGGGGGATGCAAGTCCCTCTGGCAATGCAAGTCCCTCTGGCAAATCTTGTTTGCTTCGCAGTAATGATAGGTGATAACCACCTGATTAAAGGATGAAGCATTTGAAACCTGAGTTTCTTACATAAACCATTAGCTTAACTGTGCTTTCAAGTCATTCTGAACCTTTTTTTTTCTCCGTTTCCTTGTGCACGTGCCAGAATTGCAGATCACTATTTGTGCAAAACCGTTGAGGGTGGCAGTATAGCATTCAAGTAGTGTAATGACTACGTACAGATAAAACACATCATTACAGGTTACAGTTTAGTCAATGCTGGTGTGTTCTTCCCTGTTTCTGTTTTTAAGTGTTCTTTAGATTGATGAACAGACGTTGGAAGGATTACTGACTTGTTTGGTGCTGGTTTTATAGGAACTTTTGCCCAGAATTAAGCATGTTCTGTAACTATGTTACTTGATCTTTACATCGCATTCGCTGTGTTATGTTTGAATTAAATGTATCTGTGGTTTTGCAGTGCTGCACAGCTGTTGAGCTACCCAGGAAATAACAAGATCCCCCTGAACTATCACATAGTTGAGGTATGGACTTTATAGATCACCTCTTTGTAGCTCCCATTTTTTCATGAGTAACGTGTACAAGTTAGTTCCAATTTAGGTCCTTTAATCCAGTTTGATTACAACATGAACCTTGTTGAATTCAAGCAACAGCTTTTAAATGAGTTGGTTATATACAGTCAGGTGTTAATTTTGTGCATTTGTTGTCATTTTGACTTGGTGCCTCCAAGCTTTGATCAAGTACAAGAATTTCTTAATGCACTAGTAATCCAGTCTAATTAAGTTTCTCAAACTAAAAGTTCCACATGTGATTGGTGTAATGTATCACACAGTCTCAGAGATGGCTGCATTTGAGTCACTTTTAGTTTAAATAAAATCTGAAATATAGAAGGAAATGTAAACAAACTGAAATACGGGAACTCCATTTAATCTTTTTGTAATGCAAAGGTGATTAGTCACTGGAAGAATTTGCCCAGAGAATTCATGGTGTCTGTATCCTTGAGAAAGCTCGAAACCTAACAGGGGACAGCCCTAAGCAACCTGCTCAGTGACCCTGCCTTATGCACGAGGCTTTTGACTAGACTCTCTCCAGCTAGGCTCCATCATTCTACATGATGTTTGCTTGGATATTCTAAATTACTGTGTTCTACTAGCCCTGAAAAGAACTTACAGTGAAATAGCAGTGTGTTTCCTCCAGGACATTCTTTATGTCGAGGAATTCCAAGTAACTGTAATGTGTGCCAGAAGAGCAGCAGAGGTTTTCTTTTGCTGCCTTCTTTGAAGAGTCTGTTTTCAAGGTGCAGGGCTGTATAAAACTTCATTGATTTTCATAAAAGGTAGAAGGGATTAAGAGATTTCAGTAATAACAGCAACTTATCATATAAAGGCTTTATGAAGTAACTCTAAGTAGGAATTTCAGAGCTAATTATGGCAAGAAATAATCTTAAGTATAAAACTTAACCTTTATGAAAGTGGAATTGAGAATTCCTCTTGGCACCAAAATGCCAAATATTCTGATTGCTGTAAAGTTGTATTACTTTGGTCACCTTGTTCTTTTTCTGCTCTAAATTCAGAACAGAGGAATCTTAAAATCAGGAGTAATTATCTGCCTTAACATTGAAGTATATTCAATGAGTGTTGTAAAAAGTGATGTGATTCCTGAAAAGAAGTGCAAGATTAGTGTACAAATTCTTGGACTAACACTATAATAATTTCCTTTTTTCTTGCAATTTTGAGTTACTTTAAAATATTCATTATTTGTCTGACTGCTTACTTTTGATGAAGATCTAGAGTTTTTAAGGCTTAGCATAGTTTTTTCATGCTTCTGTTCATTCTGCTAACTACTACTCCCTTGCAAGGTCTCTCTTACAATCTCTCTCCAAGAGTCACGTTGGTGATAATGTTTAACAGTTCAGTCTGTGAAATTTTGCTAACTTTTTCAGTCAGTCACAGAACTGTAGAAATAATGTGGTCTAACATACAAAGGAAAAGGTTAATTAAAGTTCAGAACATAACAGTTAGGCAGAAATAACAATAGCCTGAAAGCAGTTGTCAGTGCATTCCTGAGTATTCCTAATTTTGAGGTCCCCGAGGCTCCACACTGTTGCTTGTCAAGTTGAGCACAGAATGCTGCATGCTGCCTGGAACACTGAAATGTGGGGCCTTTCTCCCTGTAGCTTCTTCTAGACACACATATGGGTATTTCTGGTAGCTGTTAGCAGAGGATGTCTGAGCAACCTCATTGGCTTGTTGGGCTGCCGTGCCCAAACTCCTGTGGTTTTTGCACTGGGCACAACTCAGACATTCAGAGTGTGTGTGTCCTGATTTTTCTTGTGGCCTTGTTATTTTCACAAAATGTGGTATGACAGTTTGAAATACTTAAATATTTAGTAATGAACATGTGAATATCACAAATAAGTTTATAGAGTGTCTCAAACAGGTAACAACGGATTGACCAGTTGTTATTTCCTCTCTTGAGAAATGGAACCATTTTCTACCTAACAGAGTTCTCCCTACCTTTTTGCCTGTCCTGACAGTATGTCCAAATTATGCTGACACAGAAAGGTTCTCAAGCATCTTATAGTCTCTGTGCTTTCGAGTCCTTCCTTAGAATAACAAGGTTGTTTTCATGGGCTGTTTTTGGAGCTTACAAATAGATGTTGATTTCATACATCAGTAAGATTTTTCTAGAGCTTACTCATTTAAGCTTTATTCAGAAGTTTAAAGAGGAAAATGATCAGCCATAATGAATCAAAGTTTCCTGATTCCTCTGATGTAATTCATATTTAGTTGAAAATGGACTGCAAAATAAACAGAAACTCAGAGGTGGATGTTGTGCAACGGAGATTTTATTTTTTTTAAGCCCTCAAAGGTTGACATGCTGTTACTATAGGCAAGCTTTAAAATAAAAACACAGATGCTGACTGCAGGATTATTTCCAGTTTTCTTAGAAGGATCTTCTACCAGGGAGTGTTATATATTTTTGTTGTATGAAATGCTGGTTGTAGTTTTCAATTTAAAATTGTGGCTTTATATGAGGTTCCATACAGAAGAGAAGAGGACACAATGGAAAAGATGTAAATGTAATTTTAATACATATAGTCTTTCATATTAAATGCTTAGGCCTCATTTAATGTGTTTCATATTTATACTTATTGTTCGACAGGATCAAATTACTTCTGTGTGCCTCGGATCATGTGTTATCACTGCAGTAGGTCATATTGTGGCTATGCCCATTTCTACAGTTACATGCTACATTTGTTCGCATGTGCATAATTGATGTCCGCATTGATGTACATTGTACATAATAGATGTACAATGCTGGTGTTTCGTTAGTATGAAATGGTAAGAGCCGTTAGAGTGGACTGTATTACTGCAGTGTAGGGTTACCACTACCTTTTATATGGTTCTCCCTCTTTTTCCTGGAACATGCATTGGGCAGAACAACATGGGTCTTTTGGGATAGGTAGTCGGTCAAGGTGGCTGGCCACTACTGAAATGGAGCTGAGGGTTGTACAGGCCACACCCAACTGTGCTCTGATTCTGTGATTTCCTCTCTGTAGGTAATATTTGCAGAATTGTTTCAGCTTCCGTCTCCACCACACATCGAAGTCATGTACACAACGCTTCTGATTGAACTGTGCAAACTTCAGCCTGGCTCTTTACCACAAGTTGTATCCTTTCTGCACTGCTGAAAAATGCAGTTGTTATTTTGTTTGTTCCGTAGCTGGTGGGGTAGCATTAAATCCTGGTAGTGTTAATATTTTACAGAAGCTGCATGAAACTTTGCCTGTAACACTCACATGATAGAACAGCACAGCTCACTTAGCAGAGATCTAGATCTGTCAAGTGGGCAAGGCTCGTTGGTGTTCTGGTACTTTAGCCTTCCTAAGCAGTGTGCTGTCTTCGTAAGGGGATAAAATACAATACGTCTGTTTGTCACTGCAGCCTGTTTAGGGCTGGACAATGTGTGGTGTGGTCACAGGCATATTAAAGGCTGAGAAGGAAAGGAAGTGACAGACTTGATCTTTTGTTGTAACAACTGTATGAGTACTCCTGCTCTTATTTTCTGTGGGAATTGTAGCAGGTGATTTAAAGGAACTTGCTGAATTCCCACTCAGTGCTCACACTAGGAGCATTCACAAGGTTAATAGTCACCGATGAGCTAAGACAGGGTGGTTAAATGCTGGGAAAAGAGGCACGTCTCCCAACTAATTCTGACTATCACATTGCCACTACTTGCTGCCACTTTAGATCCTGTTAGGTTGTTGTTTTAGATCAAGCTATAAACTGAGGACAGTCAACAGATGTGTATTCACTAGGAATTTCATGCCCAGATTTTCATTCTACTTCATGATACCACTCACTGTTTGAAAATCACATTATCTCAATGATTAGATCCAAGTATCTTCCTAGAATTGGGTGTATGTCTGTGCATAAAGTTTTTTATGTTAGTAGGGTCACTGTAAGAAGGATAAAGGCCTTGTTGGGTAAAGTCAGTGTAGACATACTTTTTGAAGAATTGAGTGATAATCAAAGATTGATTGTGGATTACCAGCAACCTGTGAAGCTACACTGATGAGATACCAGCAGTGCTCTGTAAGGAGGTTGGTGTCTGCCCATGTCAGTGCAGTTTTTTTTGCTTGTTGCTTGATGTGAATTCTGGCTTTCTGTGGCAGAAGCCCACAGTCTTGTTGCAATAATGGAAGAAACACAGACTGGGATTAGAGGGTGAAATTCACAATATTCTTCATTTTTTTATGCTATGGATTTACTTGATTTACCTGATTTTGGAATAGACTCATGGAGCTTTCATTGCAAAAAGCTGATTATATTCTGTTAAAAATCTGAGAGGAATAACATCTGACCTATCTAGTGCTTTTCTATAAACCTTAATAAAAAACTCTAAGCTCGCACAAGCCACGGAAATGCTTTACATGCGTTTGGATACGATGAATACAACATGTGTGGACAGGTAAATGTGTTTAGGAGATGATGGAAAACATTCCTCAATATCCAGTGTACAGGAAAAATGAAGAGGCTATGGCAAGAGGAGACAGCAACCCTTGTTAGAATTACTTTATGCTATTCAAAATGTTTTCTGGGCTCTGGCTTTGAGCAGTCTAAGGACAAGGTGGAGGACTGACTGCTCACCTCCTCTCTCCAGGAACACTCCCCTGGAAGTCACAAGTCTAGCTGTCTATCCAAGACAGTTGAAAGTGGTGACAACTTTTGCATGTTCAAAGCTGTTCATTGTTGTGTGGTGCTCTGTTTCCTGGTGCTATTCCTCCCCTCTAGTGGTCTGGGGTAGATGCTTGGAAGTGGAGTTAACGGCATATGTGCCACCCAGAGCAGGAGAATAGTGGTAATTTTTGTATGGAAATGCAGTTAATGACTCATGAAAAATTTGAAAGTTGCGTATTCACAGTGAGTTTACATTTTAATTGTTAGTTTAGTATGTCATCTTTCTGTATGAAATGACAGAACATGACAAGCTGTCTATTTGTCCATAAAAGCTTTCTTCTGACTCTCCAAACTGAAGTCTTTTGTGTCAGTCAACACAAATGCCTGTTTAATGCTGTAATAGCTAAAGGGTTTGTGCTTATCTTTGACAAGTAGATTGCATCTATAAGAGAAGCTCAACTGAAATTTTTCCTGCACTTCTGACATTTAATGGATCTTTCTTTTTCTTTTAATAAAGATTTATTAACTGGTTTTCTCACCACCTGAGCAACTTTCAGTTCCGTTGGAGCTGGGAAGATTGGTAAGTTTGTCTCCTTTTGATTCAAACCTGATATTGCAAGAGCCTTAAAATTTCAAACATACCCAGATAGTATCACAGAATAATGACCTTGTTAATTGCTTTCCTCTAGCTCTTCAGAGATCTGCTCACTACCACTCAGTTGTAGACTGTCTTGTTAATCTCTAGTCACTGTATTGTCCCTAGTGAACTTTGTGATAGATCTCAAGCCAGTGTAAGCATTCCATAAAGAATTTGTCTTTCAGAAATGACTCCCCGATTTACATTTAATGGTTTGTGCTGACTCTTCATATCCTGTATTCATTCTGTAATGTTGCTCTCTGTCCTGCTCTAAACCTTTCATTGAGACCCTATGGTCTGTTTCCAACCTGCCAAATCCTGGTCTCTGAAATTCCATCAGAGCTTGCCCTGCCATCCATTTTTACCATGCCAAGTCTTGAGCTTGCATCTTTAGATGGAGCAACCTGGACTCCACCAATGTCTAACCACTGGTCCCCTAAGCTTTCTATTCCAGAGAGACCACCTTGAGGTTAAGTCCTCCTTAAGCTGCAATAGCTTCCACAGCCTGCTATTGTACATGCTTTCTGAAGGTGATCTGCCCAAGTGTCCTTGTGGAGAGGGGTGCAGCCCTTCTAATATGCTTTTGTGGCTTTATTTAAGTGTCTTGTATTGTCCTCATGTGGAGTTTAGTGCCTGGTGGCTATCCTGGTATACATCCGTGTTGACTGACCAGGCAACAGTCCTCAAAGAGCTGATTTTTCTTTGCCTGGATCTTCCTTGATGGCAGTGCTTCCATGGGTCTCTCTCACAAAGTGCCATTTTCCACATATCTTGCAGGTGATTGCTTTGGAGGGTTTTCTTCATCTCTGATGCATTTGAAACCACCTAGAAGTTCAAAAATTCCTGTGAGGGAGGAACAGACCATGGAATCACACAAGGTTCCTTTCCTAAGGAGAGGGAAAGCCAGTTGACTGTAGCCACAAATTATTTTCAATCTGGTGGGGGTAGGGAAGTTACTTGAAAATGTATCGCACAGAGATGAGATTCCGAGAATGCTAATTGCCAATAAGGAAGTAGTGATTAACTTACCTCGTGGTCTTAAAATTGCCTACACTGTAAAGCTGTCAGGCACTCCAGTTGTCCTTCGCCCATAATTGTTTTGCACCTATTAGACCAAGCCAAAAAGAAAGTAAAGCACAAATTCTTTTGCTAAAAGCCATTGCATTGTGTCCTTTGATAGGTCAGATTGTCTTACTCAGGACCTTGAAAAACCCAAACCCAAATTTGTGAGAGAGGTTTTGGAGAAGTGCATGCGGTAAGTATTACCTTTTGATAGTTGCATTCAAGGCAAAGTTTGATCTGGATGCTGTAAGAGTACTTTTAACTTGATTGTTGTCTTAGGCAGATCTGTTCTTAAAATTCAGTTTGAGTTAAGAGATGAGTTTGTTGTTTGTATGACTTTTAATCTGGTTTGCCTGCTGTAGGACACTAGAGAGCGAGAAACAGGTGGTGCAGATGGTAGTGAGCTCTCTATACATACCTGTAGTTACAAGAACATGTAGGCATGAAAATAAATAAGAGTTCAGGCTTTATTCCTGGAAAGTATTCAGCATTCACAGAAATGGAGAGAATTCACCGTCAGTTATACTGAAAACTGAGAATCTAATCTTGATTGGTTTAGGTGCCTCCCATGCTCATTGACCTTAAACAACCGTGCAAAGACACAGTATATCCAAAGCCACCAACAGGACCACATAATCACTCTGTCTAGACTTAAAATTGTTGAGATAGGGAGGTATGTAGGCAAGAGACAGAGCAAAATGTGCCAAAAGCCCATGTTATTTGACATGCTACGTGAAAATACTAATCCAGTTTTGGGTGGAGTCTGTATAGGAAGAGTGAAAGTATTGTGCTGCAAAGTGGAACCAATTTTTCTGTAGTGCTCTTCCATTTCCCTGGAAGCTCTGGTAGCAAATTAAACCTTTGTGGAAGTGAAATGAATCTGCAAAGTAAAATGAAGAGACCTGGTTTAATATTTTTTGTGCTTTGAACAGCAGTGTCTTACTAGTTATCTGCAGCTCATCTCAGCTTTTGTATAAAACTTCTTACCAGACAGCCTTTTCATAAGGCATATTAATTGTATGAGGATGAAACCCTAGCATCGTGGAGTTCAAATAGAAAGCAATAGTAAGTTTGGTTTACTGAGCTTTTACTACTCAGCAGAAACTACCATTCTGTTGTATAAACATCCCAGTTCTTGTTCTGTGAAAGTTAAATACAGGAAATCTGTTACAAAGCAGTCAGGATAAAATTAGCTGTGATGTTATTCCTGTTTCAATTCTTGTTATTTCCAGACTCTCCTACCATCAGCGAATAATAGACATTGTTCCTGCAAGTTTTTCTGTCCTCAGTCCTGCTAATCCTGTGTGCATCTACAAATATGGAGATGAAAGTAACAGTAAGTATTAAAGTTACTAGTGGTCAAGTTGAAGGAGTGTTTGAGAGCAAGGGAGCACACTAGATTGAGTGTAGTATCAGTTGTCTTTGTAAAGAAGAATACAACTCAAATAAATGTGCATGATTTTCATACAGGTAAATAGGCTTCATGTGAGCAATTAATACATATTAAGGCTGGATCTCTGTCATAAAATCCTCTCTGCTACTTATGAAGAGAATAAAATCCAGATACATGAAGTTACTGTTGCGGAGGTTGTTGGAGTGTTGTGCAGTATTACTTGCCAGAAGTCTAAAATTGTACTATTCATCCTGTTTGGGCATGATAGTCTGCAAAAGTCAGCATATGAAGTGATAATGAGAGGGGTTTCTTTGAACTGCATGTAACAGTAGAATATTTTACCAGTAAACTTGATGTAATGAAGCATAAAGAGGGAGCTGATAATACAGAGACTGAGGGAGATACCTGATTATTCCTTTTATTACCTGGTGTATATACAATCCTAAGCATAAAGATGGCATCATCAAAGATACAGTGAGGAAGCTGAAGTAGAGCTTTATTCAGGGATTACCTGACCTCAGCTCTAAAGGTTCTACTCAAAGTTTTGAATTTAATGTGGAGACCAGAAAACGAGCTGAGCAATTTTATAGAATATTGATGTGGGCAATGATACTGAAAACAGCTGGTTTTAGGTGTAGCTGGGAAGTGTACTTGTTTCTCTGAGAGGCAAACTGATGTTGAAAATGCTCACTTCATTTTATGTATTTTTGACCTCTTTGGTCTTTGTTCAGGGTCACTTCCTGGATATACTGTGGCACTCTGTTTAACAATTGCTATTAAAAATAAGGCCAGCAATGATGAAATCTTCAGCATTTTAAAAGATGTCCCTAATCCAAACCAGGATGATGATGATGGTAAGTTATATGCTGTTAGGCTTCGGCAGGCTATAATTTATTCTGTGTGTTGACTGATCTGCCATGCTTTGGAGCTATGAGTGTGATGGTTAACAGAACTGTATGCTTATACTTCTAATAGCTGGTTTCAATTTATCTGGAAATGTAAATAAAATTCCATTGTTAGGTTTTTTTGTAAATGTCTTACATGCAGAGTCAGGCTTGGTTTTCGTAACAGGTAACCCAGAGCTTGATGTGTTTTCCTGTTATTACTGTCAGATTGAAAGAATTTAACATTCCCTTTGCCTTCAGCAACAGAGGGCAGTTCATGCTGTCATCCTCACCCCTGAAATTCAGTGCTTCTGCTCTGCTTGAGAGCTCCCCTCCCCTCAGTGCAGTCCTCCAACAGATAAGATAGCCAGCCTGCTGGCTGTGATCTTCCACAGATGGAAACTCACAATGGGAGTCCACTCATGTTCTCCTTAGCTTTGCAGCCACGGGCAGCATTGGTTCCTAAAGTCTGTGTGCTTTATGGAGTGAGGAATGTGCGAGAGACAATTAAAAGTTGATCTGAACAGTGGGGATTGCTTTGTTGTTTCTGCAATATTTGCAAGTGTTCTGTTACGCGAGCAGAGAGCAGCAACAGCCTGGTGGGTTTTTTACCCTGGGATCCACTGTCATGTTTCCTGATTTGCTTTAGGCGTCATCCACTAGTGTATGTTCTCCCTCCTGCCTGTCTTCAGCTGCAGGTAGCTGCAGGTACAGGAGGGGACTTTGCACCATTCACCCTAGTAGTCTTATTTGCTGTGTGTGCTTGCTGGACCCTTCTATATCCCAAATGGTCAGCCTCTGTGTCTTAATAATCCTTACCTCCCCCTCTCCTCATCCCTTCTTTATGGCCTGCCAGGCCTTCATCCTGGTGCACAGCTGTAGTTTCCTTTGCTGTCTCTGTCTGCTGCTGTCCATCAGTGCTGTTCCATGTTGATGGGATAACTGTGTCTCTTATAGCTTCTTCGCTGTCCTGGAATTCTTTCTGCACATTTTCTTCATGGCAAAATAGAAGCCTGAAAATCTGCTCATTCTGAAAAAGTCTTCACTAGCTCCCTGCTCAGCCTTGCAAAACTCTGTTAATGGAATTATTTTTTGTGAAATGAGTTAAAGCCATAAGTTATCTCTGCAGTTTTATGAGGACCTTACATGCTTTACTTGAAGTACTTAGAGTTTCAACTTTAAATAACTTGCAGGTGAAGGATTTACCTTCAACCCTCTGAAAATAGAAGTCTTTGTTCAGACTCTGCTCAATCTAGCTGCAAAGTCTTTCAGTCACTCCTTCAGTGCCCTGGCAAAGTAAGTATACCATATGAATTATCTTGGGGTTTACAAAACAGTTTAACTCTGACAGTGAAATGCATGATAAAAGAAGTGGATTGCAAGCTTCAGCAATGTTTAAGGTGCTCCACAATGTAATATGATTAGGAGAACTAATGACAGTGCTCACCGAAGGAATGGTAGTGTAAGTCCCAGATTATATATGTGTGCATGGAATTAACAGAAATATATACATTACAGCCATGTGATATAAATCAAACAAATGTGACATGTTTGGAAAATTACTTCATTTTAGAATTCCTTATTCATTAATTATGGTGAGGAACAAGGGATTCCCCTTACATTTGAATGACTGGGTAACTGCCATCGGAATATCTTGTACTATGAATATGAATCTAGGACAGTCACACCTGTATAAAAAGCAAAGAGAAAAGAAAACCAGAAACTTCAAAACAGTCTGCTGTAAACTTCTGTCTACCAAAGCACAGTAAAGTCCATTTTAAAATACTTGAGAGTTCATCCCCTAAAGATATACTGGAACTTATAAAGAATTTACTGCACCATTTCTAGAAAAATGAGATAAAATAACTTTTTTTAATCCTTTGTGTTTTGGAGTTGCTTCTAAGGGGTTTTGTTACATGAAAGATAGTATTATGCATCTTAATGAGTTATCTTTAGGGACAGATAGAAAAATAGATAAAGCTGTTTGTTATAAAAACATGCACCTGGGAGCTCTATAGAGGCAATGTTGATAAGAAGCTGTAGGTAGTAATCTGCAGTCAGGAGTACAAGAGGCAGGGTGACGTGAGCACTTAGACCCATGGTGTTTTCACTGCTGCACACCAACAGTGGCAGCCGTGAGATCACAAAGAGCCTCTTACTCTTTATGGTTGTATTACAATAAGCTGGGCTGTGAGTGCTGTATAGTAGTCAGTGTAACTGCTAAAATAAAGGCTTCTAGCAGCATTTCCTTCAAAAAGAGCACTTAGGATATGTGTCTAAAGTTATGGAAACACGTCAAGAGGAAGATCTAAGGCTTAAAAGGCAGCAAAGTTTGCTCCAGCTGTGTATAGATAAGCACACAAAGCATGAAAGTGTCTCCTGCTTTTAAGAGTGTGAGAAATGTAGTCTAGCTTCAGTAAGTAGGTTCACCACTAAGATGTAAGTTGCTTTTAGGTGCTCTCATGTCTTGGTGGTCTGTTTTAGCTCAGGCTGGTTATATTCTCCAAGGAAGAATTGTCCAAGAAATGCTGCAGATAGTTACAAAATTTTCTTTTGGGCCATCTAAACCACTTGCCTTATATCTGCTGCTCTTTTGACCTGATCCCAGCCCCTCCACTGACTATTTGTGTCTATTAAAAGGTTTCATGAAGTCTTCAAAACGCTTGCTGAAAGTGACGAAGGGAAACTCCATGTTCTGAGGGTTGTATATGAGGTTTGGAAGAATCATCCTCAGGTAAGAGGTTGGAATGTCAAGTATCTTTTTGAGTTTTAATTCACAGAGGTCATATTTAAATTTTTTTTTAAATACAGTTTGCTTTAGAGGCTTTAAAAATAACTTGTCTATTGTCATCTTATTTTAAGGAGAGTTCAGATTGTATTTAATTTGATTCTACTGCCTAAAATGAAGGCTGGGCATAAAATATATACCATAAGTGATGTTGCTTCTTCCTCAAGGGTTCACTGTGGGAGGGCCAAGGCGGTCATTATGACTCAGATTCACACTATGCTGTTTGTTGTACAACAGAATAACTTCTGACAAAATTATGGTTTTGTTCAAAACTAGAAAACAGCATAGATGTGTAAATTGAAATAAGATGTAGATCTCATACCAAAAGCAGGCCACCTTGCTAAAAATGTAGAAACCTGGGGGCTTTTTAGTGCTGGAGTTTCTCTTGCATCAACTGCTAGTGAAAGTCATCCAGTTGTTACACAAAGCTCATGCTGAGGTGTCTGTTGGGTGTGGGAAAGGAGAGTAGAGCTGCAGTTGTGGCTGTTCAGAAGAGGCCAGTCTGACAGAGCCATGATTATGTTCATTCTTGAGTCAGAGGAAATAACACCCTAAAAGATCGACAGAAAAAGCCTTGGAGGTTTAAGATATTCAGTTTCTTCACAGCAGTTGTTTTCTCCCTCAGCTGTCATTTTTCTCTAAATAGAAATCAGTGAGGAACTCTAGCTGAATTTGCCTACATTGATTATTTGACATGTTACTTACTGGTGTGTCTGTGGTACACTTACTGTGCTGGGAAGTGGACTGTAGCTCTCAGCTGCATAGGCCGGACTTCAGAAGTGGGGCACTGAGAACCAAGAGTAATCCTTGCATGTGCTGCTAGATATGTGGCCCATTCCCTAGTGGAAAAAACAAGCACCTAGAAGATAACTATGCAAGGTGTTATCTCTCTTCTCAGTAAAAAGATTAAAGAAGCCAGATTTTTTAAAATATGATTGACTTACTACCCAGTTTACTGACCTTAAAAGTGTGACATTTACAATCTGACATACATTTTCATGCTATTTAACTGGATCAGAAGAAATTTCATTGCTACAATCTAATATCCATATCTGCTTCCTCTTTGTTCCTTTGTATGACCAAACTGAGATGGAGGTTCCAAACACAGACTAAATAGTCATGTTAGATTCTTACGAATAAACCAGGATCACTTTAAAAAATATCAAGTGCAGAAGTTAACAAGGTCTGCTGTTCTTGATCATGGAAGTTAAATTTTCTTCCCTTGCATTTTACTGCAGTTCAGTGTTTTGTTTCTGATCAAGCACTTTTTCCCCCTGAATCCACAACCTCCCTGTCACACAGAAGGAATAGTGCCTGGACAGCGGGACACTTGTCCTGAGTCTGTTTTCAGACTGCTGACCTTACTGCCATGCCTGTGGGAGGGAACATCCTTTGATTTGGTTCAGACTAGCAGCAGTATTCACACGGCATATAGCACTAATGAGTGAACTGTGCTGCGGGTAGTGATTTAACAGCAGGAGTTAGTAGTCCTTGGATTTACAAACAAGGTTGTGGTGGTTACTTCATAAAGGGAAACACTAACATCGAGATTAAATGTTTTCTCAAAATCCTGGATGTGTGTTTCTTGGAAGATCAAGTTACATAATCAGAAATTCTTCCTGGCAGTGCAGAAAGATGAATAGAGCACAGGATGCTATCGTGGGACATGAAGGTTAAGTGCTGAGTCTTCTATATGATTCATTCAGTTATTTTAATTTTCCTTCCTTAAAAGGAGCTGAGTTACACTTCCTTATTTGACGATGGTGGTTGTAAGGATAAATACACTGCAGGCTGTGGTTCTTAGATACTGTGGCGTTCAATCACATGAGTAACTAAGATAAGCCTTTTTTTCAGAACAGCTTGCCACTTCTTAGTCAGTAACCCTTCTCTGCAGCTGCCTGCTAGATTGCTTGCTACTCCCTCAGAATCATGACAGTGTCTGTAGCAAGTAGGCTCTTCCATTAAGTACACAGCACTAGCTCTTTCCTGAAAATAGCATGTCCCATAGAGAAAAGCTTACTGTCATGTTTGAGGGCTGTTGCAGTTTGAGCAGGCTAACAGTAGCTCCTTCATTATGGTGATCTGACAGGTATATATACTCTGGTTTGAGTACTTCAGTGGCACATACTAGTACTTATGTCTCTATTGCCTCATTCCAACTCTGATGCTTGTATTTTTTGATTTTGTATGGGAGTATGTATGATAACAAAGATTGATGCGTCACTTTTTGAAGTAAGTAAGATTGTTAAACAAAATTAGGATGCTTTATACAATTGATATAGATCCCCTAATTTGAAGAGTTTTATGCTGGACTACCCAGCTGCCTGAAGTATGTGAAATGACTCAGTAATGTCACTGATTTAGGGTTGCATCAAAGCATCTCTGATTTTACCTGAGGCTAGAATGTTATACTCAGATTGTGTGTCTGTCTTTCACAAAATATAGATGATTGCTGTGCTTGTGGACAAGATGATTCGGACACAAATTGTTGACTGTGCTGCAGTAGCAAACTGGATCTTTTCCTCGGAGCTTGCGCATGATTTTACTAGGTAACAAGAATTTGGTTTGGGTTGTTTTTTGTATCTGAGTTACTGTTTTAGGTGGACAGTACATAGTTTAATCTATGAAAACTGAGTAGGGGAAGAAGGTACAATTAAACTTTTGCTCTTTCTACAAAATACCTACTTTAGCATTTTTCTTTCTGAGCTAGGGTATGAATGCTTATGTGACAGTGCAAGATTGCTGCTAGCATGTCATGTTGCAGGTAATCTCTAAGCCTGCTGAGGTAGAACAGCACTGGAGGTAATTCTAGACAGTCTGTTGCTTTGTCTTATATAGCTGCTAGCTTGGTGTGGTCCTGGTCTTTGGTTGAGGTACATAACTTCTACTACGACTGGTATGTTGCATATTGAGAACGGGAGGAGTGTTTGATCTGAGGAGTCAGTTTGGTGTTGAAAGTCTTGCAGTGTGTATGAAATAAAATTTTGGTTTTGAAGTGTACAGCAAGAAATAGGAAAAGAGTGATTGTAAAGCTTTCTCGCTTTACAAGTATGCTTTCCTATATGCTGAGTGTTTGTTCACTCTGGTGGATGTCTTAGATGATACTGAGTTTTTAAAATTCTCCCAGTTACATTTTTCTGTGAAAAACTACATTTAGTTTCCTACCTCGGAGTAATGTAGTAGCGCAGGATAGTGTTTTGAGCTTTGTGTCTTTTCTAGGTTTTACATCTGGGAGATCTTACATTCCACAATTCGTAAGATGAATAAGCATGTCCTGAAGATTCACAAAGAACTGGAGGAGACTAAGGCAAGATTGGCCAGGCAGCACAAAAGAGTGCGTAATTTGCTTGTAAATTTTAATAATTTTTAACTAAGTTATACAAATCTGCATGCTGACAAACAAACACACGGTTTTGGGAAGGACTATAAAAACACGGTTCATCAGGAAGCATGTCTGCAGATAGGTAGTCATCTGTGGAACTGAGTCATCAAAAATGGGATGCATGTTCTCAGTCCTTCATTCTAACTGTAGCTGGTAACATAGGAGTTCAGTAAAGTCTTTTAAGGGAGTTCATATGTATTTGTTCTTTTCAAGTTCTCTCTTAAAAGTTACTCTTCCAGTACGAGTATGTCTTCCACTTGCCTTCTGATCTGGATTCCAATTACCTTACTAGATAACAGTAAGAACAGTTAGAAATTATTTATAGTAAGTTCTGTTAAAGAATGCTCTTGTGGCTTCCATGCAGAAGTGCACAGAAACAGCTATTTGCTAGTGAGAATTTGGCTGTTACTGTTCTTCTGATGGATGCTGCTGGATTCTGACACTGGCATGTCACTTCCTTCTGAGTATAGCTGCATGGTCTTGCATTACTATATACAGCAAACTGATGAGGAAGCAGCTGCTATTGTGCTCTGTTGTCCCAAGTGGGATAGTAAAATGGAGTCTGTAGCTGCTAGAAAGGATGGGGCCCAAGGCAGCTTGGCTGAATGCAGTACTTAGTTATGACAGAATTAAGTCACTTTATAAATATGTTGAGAGTTGCAGAAAGCAATAGAGAATTTCTGTGTTTCTTTGAGGTCTGAGAGTATGATTACCTGCACAAACCCCTTAGCTAGCTTCAAGAGTTTGAATGAATTTACTGTCAAAATGTGACACAGAGGCTGCTGATGTTCTTTGAAGAAATCTGCACAAGTCAATCATTTGTCCAGAAGTTTCTGTTGAGAGATCATTAATAACTCAGAGTTTGCCAGGGTCAGTTTTCCTTCACTCACAGCAGCAGCCATCCCAGTTGCTTGCATCCTGAATCTGCATTGATGAGCAGTTAATAAATGCCTGTGATTATTGAAGACCTAGATACAGTTATTGATCTTACTGTGAGGCAAATTGCTTCTCTGGCATCTCTAATACAACAATGTTTTTATTTCTGTACTTGTCTCTTGCTGCAGCTCTTTATTACTTAGTGCTTTAAATGAGTATTCTGTCAGGAAGAAACATTTGTATGCAACAGTGAGTAGTTCTGCAGGCTGTTGCTCTGCTGCATGGCTATTCCTTTTAGAGGAAGTAAGCTGTCAAGTTTTGATGTCCCCAGCATGAAGTGGATTGCCTTACTATGGAATAAGTCCAAGGCTTACATGCTTTCTGTTGGGTCTTAGTGGTCCTTTAGTGTTTTGAGTTCAGGAAACCTCTGTAGATGAGAAAAAAGCAAGTTCCTATAGAGAGAATATAATTAAATTCTCACTTGATCTGGTAAGTCATTTTCATTTTTGTACGCCAATTCAGTTACACCTTATCTTCTGGTTGTGAGCTTCATTTCCTATGCAGTAGGTGAGTTAACATATGGCCCTATGTTTGTGACAAGTGACACATGCTTCTTTTACAAATATTTGGAGTTTTGAGCTGTTAATTTATGCATATTTTTGCACAGAAACAATCGTATGAGACTGAAGCAGTATCTATGTTCAAATTTGCCATAATCTATCAGATTCCTCCTTTTCTCCTATATGCCTTGTGGTCTTGTGTAAGACTTGGTTACTTGAGCTTCCAGGCTGGTACTCGTGTATTTTGTGGGTGGTGGTGTGTTGTTTTGGTTTTGATGCAATGAGAGCATACCATGTTCCTAGTTAGTAGATCAGTTTCTATGCTTACCCCTTCTAGTCTGAGAGTAGCCTTTTTGGTCATGAATATGGGGAGGCCCCACTTTTAACAGCACTGGCTGCAGTCTTTAGTCTTCCTTTTGTGCTAACCAGCTGGGTTCATTTGAGTGCTTGCACAAAGTGCCTTATTTTTTGGAGCCCTGAGATTTCAGAACTCTTCATTGAATTAATTGCCTGCCCTGATGCAGTATATGCAATTTGAAAGAGATCTATGTCTTATTATTCTTAAAAAGCTCTTCATTACCTGTTAATGCTAAAGTTAGCAGCGGTATTACCTTTCACAATGTTTCGTCTAAACAAATCATGGAATCATAGAATGGCCTGGCTTTGAAGTGGCCTTAAAGATCATCCAGTTTCAACCCCCCTACCATGAACAGGGATACCTTTCACTAGACCAGGTTGCTCAGAGCCCCATCCAACCTAACTGAACACTTCCACACATCCACAGCTTCTCTGGACAACCTGTGCTAGTGCATCACCACCCTCACAGTCAAGAATTTCTTCCTAATAGCTAATTTAAACCTACTCCCTTTCAGTTTGAAGCCATTCTCCTTTGTTCTGTCACCACATGCCCTTGTAAATAGTCTCTTTCCATCTGCTTGTAGGCTCTCTTCAGGTACTAGAAGGTTGTAATGAGGTCACCTTGAAGCCTTCTCTTTTCCAGGCTGAACAATGCTAATTTTCTTAACCTTTCCTCGTAGCAGAGGTGCTCCAT